ACAAGTGTTGCGAATGTATTGGCAGTTATTGTATCAATTATGGCATCAATGAGTCTCAATGTATTCAGTGTCCGCTCACCACAGAGGAAGAGCCCTACGAACCCGAAGTCACTCCAGAGGATTACGACTTCGATGACACCGCTGGCGAAGGAGACACCGCTGAAGACTCAGACGATAAGACTCCGAAGCAAACGAAGAGCGAAAAGAGTGTAAAAACCGGTGATAAAGAGGTCTCCGATAAGAAGTCTCCCGAAGAGCCGAAGCCGAGCGACAAAGAAAGTGATGGCAATTAAGACTAAATTTTGGATACGATTTGAAGTGCAGATGATTTTGTGCCAAAACTTTTTTGGAATATTTTTATTGATCCAGAATTTGCTTTCGTATTACAGAAAACTATTCAATACTTACTTTTAATTATATGTTTGCAAATGAATTAATTGATTCTCAATTATTACTTAATATTTGTTTTAATTATTTAATTTTATTGAAATTGTGATAATTTATACAAATTGTTAAATGACTGTATATTAAACGTAAATATAGTCAGGACTAATAAAATGTATTGATTATAAATTTAAAACACCGTATTTTTACTTTTTGAACTAACTTTATATGAAATAAATTGTAATTAAATATACTTGATTTAAAAAGTAAACTTTGTATTATTTAATTTACACAGAGTGAACTAGAATAACAATAGTATCTATCCTAGTTCATAAAAATAGTGCACGATATGAGTTGAGTGAATTGTTAGCGATTTGTCCTTTAATTCGCATATATACTACAATTAGTGAATATTTTTTAGATAACATGTAATGTAATCTCGATTTGTCCTCATTTAAAACATTTATACACTTTTCATCATTGATTTCACCTAAGAATTACATTATATTGTGATAACAAATATAAAATAATCATTTACTGCACTCAAAGCCTTGTCGATTAGAATTTTAATAGTAACAGAATATAGAAAGTATACATTGTACTGTATATACACTGTATATGGTAGAGGCCCTGTACACTGTATATAGTATAAAAATGAACGCAACAAGGCCATCGCTTTCAGTATACAGTATATTGAACAATAATAAGTGCACTACTGTAATCAATGACATTTTGAAGTTCAAAATTTGAAGTTCAAAATTTGAACATCTAATCTACTTTCACTATAAATACTAAACTTCACGAGTGTTTCAAATCATACATCAAAACAAAGTTTAATTTGAAATATATTTTCTGTTAAATAATTTGCTGAAAATTAATTCAAAACAATGTCCGCAAAGCAAGAAGTGATCAGCGCATCAGCTCAGGCACCGGTCGGCACCTTTTCGCAGGCCATTAAGTACGGCAACACTGTCTACCTGTCCGGACAGATCGGGTGGGATGTGAAGACTAACCGATTGGTGACCGAGTCGTTTGAGGCCCAATTGGATCAGCTGTTGAGGAATGTGAAGAGTGTTGTTGAGGCCGCCGGCGGTTCCCTCG